TGCTATGTTAACAATCCAGTATTACTCGAATGTGAAGTAAGTGGTAATCCTGAACCTGAAGTCAGATGGCAAAAAAATGGACAGTATTTCAACATTGATGACATCACAGTCAGAATCCTAGATGTAGGTTCTTTACAAATTGACATCACTCGTAGAACTGATGGTGGACGATATACATGTATTGCTGATAGTATTGCTGGCACAGACACTAAAGATATCTTCCTTACAGTACAAGGTAATATTTATTACGGTACTTTAAAATACTTTCCCTTGGAATTAATTACTGTAGAATATTTTATTTTCGCTTGGAAATAATGATTAAGGAATAATTCAGTGAAAATGAAATCCAGTGAATATACTTTTTTTCCTATATTTTACATTTAACTCAACAAAAATCGGTGAAAATAAATTCCACACAAGACACCAAAAACGTATTTTCAGTGAAAATTAATTCCAGCTAAAATAAGTATTTTACAGTATATACTGAATATGATTGTTTATACAGTTTGTATCCAAAATATTTACATTACTGACAAAAAAATGTCAAACAACATGTATATACTAGTATACCAAAATCAAAAACTATGAATTTACTGTAGAGGTCATCTTAACCTTCTCAATATTATCATTTCAGAACCGCCTATCATTGATAAGAATGTCCCGACTGAAGTTGAAGGACTTAAAAACAACAGATTATTTTTGCATTGTCCTACATCTGGGTCACCACGACCTGAGATAACATGGTATAAGAACAACAAGAGGATTGATTTTGATCCAAATGTTTTAAAGATGAGCAATGGTTCGCTAATGATATCAAGTGCAAAAGCTGATGATAGCGGGCAGTACACTTGTAAAGTCCACAATCCTGCCGGTGCTACCAATCTAACCATAGATGTTACTATCATGGGTTAGTCACATTCTTAGTTTTTATCTCATCTTCCCAGTCAATATCTTGTTAAAAATCTTCTTGTATCGTAACAGCCATACCTTGTATCCATTCTCACTCAGTATGATCTGTAGAAAGTCTCTCACTGTCTCTTGTTATCATCATAAGGGCTTAGTATATTGTTCAATTCATGAGAAATCCTATCCAATAGAATCTTGAAATATAATTTAGAAAAACATCCTAAAATAAAGTAAACTACCGGTAGCCTTGACTAATTTCAATAAAAATTAAGTTTGATTTGACTCCAAATGTTGACCTTCAGTGCAGCCAAGGTTCAGTGCCTCAATTTCAGGATTTCTGACAACTTTAAAACAAATGCTGTTAAACAAGTGTCTCTGATGTTAGTAATATAATGATTCTGTCTTTCAGAGAAACCTGTTATTAAAAAAGGACCAAAGGAGGTGGATGTTACAGTAGGTGAGCCAGTGGTGTTGCCATGTGAAGCAGATGGAAAACCAGCACCAAATATCATGTGGCAAAAGGATTTCAAAACATTGTCATTAGATGGACAGTCTATGAAAATCATGAAAGTAGGGTCCCTTAGCATTGCCAATACACGACGTGATGACGCTGGCAACTATATGTGTATGGCTTCCAATGAAAAGGGTGTGGACTCCATAACTATTCGTTTAAATGTGCATGGTGAGTAATTGGAAATGGAAATTATTTAATATTCCTCGTCCCTTATGTTTTGACCTTTGTGCATCCGTGCGTCCGTCTTAGACATGCCTGGACCAATCACAATCAAACTTCACACATACATCATACATAGTATTATATATATGCACATCAATTTGTTTTACGATCAAGATGGCCAAATGGTGGCCATTTTTGTGCTAAAAAAATCATCAAAATCAAGCATTTATGGATGGATTTTGTTTAAACTTGGAACATACTGTGGACATCATTCTATTTTACAGATCAAATTTAAAATGAATGGCCAACTGAAGGCCATTTTGTTTTAATGAATGCAGTTCTAGTGCCATATGTACCTGATGTAGTCGTTTTGACACATACAACATGTAAAACAACTATGAACAACAATCCATGAACGATGCATGATTTAGCGAACTTTCACACTTTCACATGATTTGAAATTCCATACTATGCATGATTTCAATGAACTTTCACAATATGCGAGAGTTCCAGTTGATTATGAATCAGATTTTCCTTACTTGAATGAAAGTCACTGCAGTGACACTGGTTGAATGAAATACAGTGAAACGATTGAAAGTAAATAAAATATTGAAAACAGGGCTGGTAAATTGTTAGTAGGGCAGGCAAGTTTTTAAAGTTACCTGTCCTGTTGTCTGGTAAACTATTTTGACAAATTTCAAACACTGGTATATATCACATACATAATGATATTTTTGTTTTTGTTTCCAGAACGCCCATCAATAATAACCACTGGTGAGCATAATATCACCACTACTGCACATGAAGATGTTAGGCTTCCATGTGAAGCTCAAGGAACTCCTATTCCAAATATTAAATGGTTAAGAAATGGTCAACAACTTTCTGGAAATGAATTTGGGTTTGAAATACTAAAGGACGGCTCTCTAAATATTTATAATGGAGAATCTGCCGATAGTGGAGTATACCAATGTATTGCTGAGAATCCTGTAGGGGTTGATACTAAGGAGTATTATGTTACGTTTAATGGTGAGAACATGTTTTACAGTGGTAGCTGAGATGGGTCTTGGGTACTTGCATATTAATAAACCAATTTGCATATATTATGAAATTGTAGGAGTATTATGTTACGTTTAATGGTGAGAACATGTTTTACAGTGGTAGCTGAGATGGGTCTTCGGTACTTGCATATTAATAAGCTAATTTGCATATCTTATACAATTGTAGGAGTTGATACTATGGAGTAATATTATACATCTGTCACTGTAACGCCATAAGTTACAACATGCCCTATTATCCTACCATATTAGGAAAGCGTCGTCTGATAATAAAAAACAAACATGGCTGCCCCCAGGGTCAGGCCCCACACAAAGAAGTTCGCTAAATCTGTTCTAAAAGTTTTGAATTTCGGCATACCCATGGTGTATTCCTGGGAGGAAAAGATGTATAATGATGTGGTTATTACTGTCTGAGTATGTGGATTTCAGTTGGTGGACATAGTGTTTCTATGGGCATAAGTCATATTTAATGATAACTTTTACAACACAATCCTTTTTTGTTTATATGCAATTCTGTTTAAGCAAATAAAGAGTTTTTTTTGCTTTTGGAATATATAATTAGACTTTACATCCGAAATTGGCCAAAGAAAGACAATCACACTGACCACAAACGGTCTCATAATGTATACAGTATTTGCTCTATTAGAAGCAAGTCTTCAATAGAAGTGCATAAAAACCAAAAATTACATTTGCTGTTACTTCCAACTAGCACTTGTTTTGTTTTATTATATTTTTCAGTTCCTCCACGTATTGCTGAAGGTCCGAATCAATTAACAGTCATCCTGGGAAATCCAGTTATTTTACCATGTGAGGCATCAGGTGATCCATTGCCCACTGTTGAGTGGAAAAAAGACAGTCACCTTCTGATGGCTTTTGGACAAGTTAGAAGACAATTAGAAATTGGTTCCTTACAGATTGATAGTACTAGAGCCATAGATACTGGTGTATATGTATGTACAGTCAGTAATATTGCTGGTACAGCTACAAGGACTGTAAAACTTACCATACAAGGTACGTCCTGGTGTTTATTTACCTGATATATAGTGTACTGTGGTCATTTCACAAATGTTATTTTTCACCAGAATTTTGTGTTGTTATCTCTTTCTACATTGTTACTACATAGAGGATAAAGATGTATAATAATAATGTTTTAATGAGGATTCTGGAATGTATGCATTTAGGCAGTACAGGGTTGCATCAATCTCTGTAATAATTTTATATATTCTAATGCTCATTATTCCATTAATTTCTTCTGTATAGAACCCCCAACTATAATCGGAGGCCTACCAAGGAATATTACCTCCATTGTAAACACAGAGGTCACTTTACGATGCTCAGCGAATGGTATACCTCCGCCAAAAATAATATGGTTAAAGAAAGCAAGACTTCTGCCAATTGATGGAAACGAGTTAAGACAACTTTCTGATGGTTCTTTGCGTATAAAGAATGTCCAACCATATGATAGTGGTATTTACATATGTATGGCGTCAAGTCCAGCTGGAAATGCCACTATAAATATCGATCTTACAGTTAATGGTAAACTATATTTTCACTATACGTTTGTTCACATTTGGAAATTGCTTCACTTTCAATATTATACCATTCTATTTTCCATATTTGGACATTGTGTCATATAATTATGCATTACAGTCTTACTCTCTCGCATTCCTTCTGCCCTGAACCTGTATATACGTGTATTCAGTTGTAAAAAAATCATGCAACATTCTGGTCTTGCGAGAGATGTGAAGTACATTTTATAAAACTAAAAGTGTTATTATAAAGGCTTTAAAATATCATGAAGTATATGTAATTAATTTCAAACATTTCTTTATGATTGATGCAGTGTATCGTCTGTGTGTCACAGCTTGGAGTGTTATGCATGTTTCAGGGCTGCAGTGTTGACTCCATCTTGGTGCACACACTATCTTACTATCTATCATGTGTTATTCTTTATTCTTATAATAAGATGTTACTGAATTGTTCCATTGGGTTAAACTTGCAACAGGCATTTTTGTTTAGGAATTGAGAACTTGCATTTAAAAAAATATAAAACATAGAAACCAATGACAACCACTTGATATGGCAAATGTATGAAAAATGATTTTGTATTTTTTTTATGAAAAATACCCATTCATGTGTTGTGTGTATGTGCAGTTCAGAGTGGCACATGCAAATCTGTTTCAGTGATGTTTTACCATGCACTTTACATCATGAATATTTTTGTCTCTCCTGCAAAGATCAAGATAGTGAAAATCACTGCAATCTCTAGACTTTTTTCAACCTTTTAAATGACTTTAGATGAAAATGGCCGCCTGGATACTATTGAAAACAAGAGAGAGCCATGAGTCTTACAAATTGTGTTTCATTTTACTTCAGTCATCATGTCCATTGTTCCCCAAACATATGTAACCATGGTATTAAATACAGTAGACGTGTAAACAGATGGGAATCGAACACTATTAGGAGAGGAAAAACAAGTTTTGTGGCTTTCTCAATGTGATCTTGGCGACCATTTGCAAATAAGGTCAATGTAAGGCATACATTGAAATATGTTAATTTATGTTCATATTTGTTTGTTATTAAGTTCCTCCAAGACTACGTGGATCTGATATAGTTACTGAAAAGACACTCATCAGCAACCAACCATTATTTCTGGAGTGTCCTATAGAGGAGGCTGTTCCAGCCCCATCAATACGCTGGACCAAAGATGGTCTCACGTTGTCATCTGCCCAAGATGGTTTGCTGATCATGTCCGGTGGAAGAATATTACAGATTCCTAATGTAGAATTAACTGATGCTGGTCGATATAAATGTATTGCAGACAATCCTGCTGGTAACTCGTCTAAAATTTATGATGTTATTGTGCATGGTAAGTCAAAGTGAACATTTGTCTTTAACCTTTTTAGCACCAGTTCCTTCTTTTCATCATAAATTCAAAAAATAGTCCCGTTTATAGTCTGCACTTTTCTCATGAAGATTGGAACAAAAATAATCAAATTTTTTTGAGTAAAAACTGAAAATTTTGTCTGTTGGCTCCAAAATTAGAGTTCATTTCAAGAAATATTGTAGAAGATAAGAAATACAGAAAAATTTGGGCGAGAAATCTAGTGGTGAAAAGGTGCAATGAAGCTCTTGAATGTTTGAAAGGAAATAAAGGAGGTTAATACATTGTTGTCATTGCCATATTGTTTCGGTCAGTATTTCTGTGTGCTTGAAAATGGGAAACTTACAAATTACTTGTACAAGAGGTTCATATAAAAGATTTATAAAGTCTGTCGTAAGATAGCTACATGAGAAATACACAAACGCATTGAAAACCCAACAAATTGACAACAACTTGATTCACATGTAAGACTGCATCAATATCTGCATTTTGTTTATTTTTTTGAAGAAGTTTACCATTTGTCAAACAGCAATTTATATATTTGGATGATTGTTTGGAACAATATGGGGATGACAGTAACCGATGTAATGCCATTGTGTTTTGGTGTTCGTAACAGTATGGCAGTAACAGTGACAGTAACAGATGTAATGCCATTGTGTTTTGGTGTTTGTGGCAGTAACAGTGACAGTAACCGATGTAATGCCATTGTGTTTTGGTGTTTGTAACAGTATGGCAGTAACAGTGACAGTAACAGATGTAATGCCATTGTGTTTTGGTGTTTGTGGCAGTAACAGTGACAGTAACCGATGTAATGCCATTGTGTTTTGGTGTTTGTAACAGTATGGCAGTAACAGTGACAGTAACAGATGTAATGCCATTGTGTTTTGGTGTTTGTGGCAGTAACAGTGACAGTAACCGATGTAATGCCATTGTGTTTTGGTGTTTGTAACAGTGACAGTAACAGATGTAATGCCATTGTGTTTTGGTGTTTGTAACAGTATGGCAGTGACAGTGACAGTAACAGATGTAATGCCATTGTGTTTTGGTGTTTGTAACAGTATGGCAGTAACAGTGACAGTAATAGATGTAATGCCATTGTGTTTTGGTGTTCGTAACAGTATGGCAGTGACAGTGACAGTAACAAATGTAATGCCATTGTGTTTTGGTGTTTGTAACAGTATGGCAGTAACAGTGACAGTAACAGATGTAATGCCATTGTGTTTTGGTGTTTGTGGCAGTAACAGTGACAGTAACCGATGTAATGCCATTGTGTTTTGGTGTTTGTAACAGTGACAGTAACAGATGTAATGCCATTGTGTTTTGGTGTTTGTAACAGTATGGCAGTAACAGTGACAGTAATAGATGTAATGCCATTGTGTTTTGGTGTTCGTAACAGTATGGCAGTGACAGTGACAGTAACAAATGTAATGCCATTGTGTTTTGGTGTTCGTGACAGTATGGCAGTGACAGTGATAGTAACAAATGTAATGCCATTGTGTTTTGGTGTTCGTAACAGTATGGCAGTAACAGTGACAGTAACAAATGTAATGCCATTGTGTTTTGGTGTTCGTGACAGTATGGCAGTGACTGACAGTAACAAATGTAATGCCATTGTGTTTTGGTGTTTGTGGCAGTAACAGTGACAGTAACCGATGTAATGCCATTGTGTTTTGGTGTTTGTAACAGTATGGCAGTAACAGTGACAGTAACAGATGTAATGCCATTGTGTTTTGGTGTTTGTGGCAGTAACAGTGACAGTAACCGATGTAGTGCCATTGTGTTTTGGTGTTTGTAACAGTATGGCAGTAACAGTGACAGTAACAGATGTAATGCCATTGTGTTTTGGTGTTTGTAACAGTATGGCAGTGACAGTGACAGTAACAGATGTAATGCCATTGTGTTTTGGTGTTTGTAACAGTATGACAGTAACAGTGACAGTAACAAAAATAATGCCATTGTGTTTTGGTGTTCGTAACACTATGGCATGACAGTAACAGTAACACATGTAGTGCCATTGTGTTTTGATGTTTGTAACAGTATGGCAGTAACAGTGACAGTAACAAATGTAATGCCAATGTGTTTTGGTGTTTGTGACAGTATGGCATGACAGTAACAGTAACACATGTAATGCCATTGTGTTTTGGTGTTTGTAACAGTATAACATGACAGTAACAGTAACAAATGTAATGCCATTGTGTTTTGGTGTTTGTAACAGTATGACAATAACAGTCACAGTAACAAATGTAATGCCATTGTGTTTTGATGTTTGTAATAGTATAACATGACAGTAACAAATGTAATGCCATTGTGTTTTGGTGTTTGTAACAGTATGACAGTAACAGTGACTGTAACAAATGTAATGCAATTGTGTTTTGGTGTTTGTAACAGTATGACAGTAACAGTGACAGTAACAAATGTAATGCCATTGTGTTTTGATGTTTGTAACAGTATGGCAGTGACAGTTACTAATGTAATGCCTTTGTGTTTTGGTGTTCGTAACAGTATGACAGTAACAAATGTAATTCCATTGTTTTTGGTGTTCATTCTTTCCAGTTCCACCAAGCATAGAAGAATCTGAATTTCCTATTGATAAAATGGCGATTGAGAGCCATCCTGTAACACTAGAATGTGAATCTATAGCCATACCACCACCAGTGTTAACATGGTTGAAAGATGGTCAACCAGTTACACCAAATGACAGAGGAATTAAGATTACAACACAAGGAAGATATTTACAGATTGACAATGTTCAATTATTTCATGAAGCAGAATATACTTGTATATCCTCTAATGAAGCTGGTAATTCAACAAAGATAATAAATCTCTCTGTTCTGAGTAAGTATTTAGATAAATTTAGTGTAATATTGTGCATCTACAGTACTCATTTCGCCGAACCTCCCGCCCGCTTCCGCATTTCGATCGCTTTTTTTTCGCTCGCTTTGTTCAATCCGACCGCGCAATTTCCGCTTTTTTTTCGACCGCGCAAATCTGGAAGTATCCGCTCGCGCAATCGCTCGCTCGCTCGCTCGCTCGCCTGACAGCACAACCGCCCGCATTTACAGTTCATTACCTACTGTTTCATGTACAAGTGTATCATTTTTGTTTTTATGATGTTAAAATAAGAATAAATACAATTAGAAATTTATAGAACGACCGTTGAAAAAAATACGGTGGATCACACGGCCATATAAAATTGGTGATAATAATGTACACCATAAACAAGATCGAACCAAACATGTGAAATCAAATACGACACTGACACAGACACAACTAATATGAAATAAAACCATTCTATTTTTGGTGGAGAGCGAAAAATGTCTACTGTAGAGTACGGTATTCGTTGAGTTAAACCGTGTGTACCCTACACACCCTGTGTAGGGTGACGGTTGTCATGCACGCATGGTTTGGGTTTAACACGGGTCAAGTTGTAGTTATGTTAAAATCCGTGGCACCTATAACAATTGAAGAATATCTGCAGGAATAGTAAGACTGTGAAAAAAACGACTGATCGATTGTTATAGAATGACCGTAGTGTACAATTTGTCAAACAAATACAATACTTGCAAATGTAATGTCGGCCAGCGCCCAT